ATTAACACCTTTCCAGTGTATTTTAGGGTATCAGCCGGTCCTGGCACCGTGGCACGAGAGCCAGACCGAGGCCCCTGCGGTGGACGAGTGGATTCGGCGCTCGGAGGAGACGTGGGACGCGGCCCATGTCCATCTGCAGCGTGCCATCCGTCACCAAAAGGCGAGCGCCGACCGTCACCGCAGTGAGGCACCGGTGTACGCACCGGGAGATCGAGTCTGGCTCTCGACTCGAAACCTGCCCCTCCGCCTGCCCTGCCGGAAGCTGGGTCGGCGGTTTGTGGGGCCCTTCAAAGTCCTGAGAAGATTGAACGAGGTGTGTTACAGGTTACAACTGCCTATAGAGTATAAAAATATTAACCCCTCGTTCCATGTGTCTCTTCTCAGGCCGGTGGTAGCTGGCCCACTCCAAGAGGATGAGATAGGAGAGACCCCTCCGCCCCCTTTGGACATCGAGGGGGCCCCGGCGTACAGGGTCCGGACCATCTTGGACTCAAGGCGCCGGATGAGTGGTCTCCAGTATCTCGTGGAGTGGGAGGGGTACGGTCCGGAGGAACGGTGCTGGGTGCCCAGGAGGGACATACTCGATCCATCCCTCCTGACTGAGTTTCACCATGGGCATCCCACGCGCCCGGGTCCGCGTCCTCCTGGCCGTCCCCGAGGCCGGGGTCGGCGCACGGCTGGAGCCACGCGTCAAGGGGGGGGTACTGTCACGGATTCTGCCGAGGCTGCTTCCCCTCCTGGTACGAGCAGGCGTCGGCGGTCGCCGTCCCCGGAGTACTAGCTGCCACCGATCTATGTTTCTGTGTGTGATTGCTTTTGTCTGTCTGTCACACCTGTGTCCAATTGTGTATTGATCACCTGTCCTATAAGTTCTGTCCTTTTGCTTAGTAGGATTGTGTGTTGTTGTTCGCCTGTCGTTGTGCTGCGTGTTTTGCGTCTTGTTTGTTATTTTAGTGTTTTACGCATGTTGCGTAAATGCTCGCCTCTTATTGTTGAGGTTGTTTGTTTACCGCTTCCTTTTGGATTTTTTGAGTAAACTCTGTTGGACTGAGCCTCGGTGTCCTGCGCCTGACTTTCACTACACATACACCTCACCTCGTGACATAGACCATTTGTTCTGGTATTGTCCTCAGGTAGCCTGCTTCTGATCTCAGGTTCAGGAATGGCTGAAAAAGCATACAATTAATCTAAAATTAACCCTAGAAATAGCATTGTTGGGAGATTTGGAGAGACCTGTTCAGTCAGTCACTCGATAATATATTAATACTCTTAGCAAAAGTATTTATCTTCCAACTCGCAATCCGTTGATTTGATTAGATAGATTCAAAATGTATGTTAAACATCACAGCATAGTTGAAAGATACACTGCTCAAAAAAATAAAGGGAATACTTAAACAACACAACGTAACTCCAAGTCAATCACACTTCTGTGAAATCAAACTGTCCACTTAGGAAGCAACACTGATTGACAATACATTTCACATGCTGTTGCGCAAATGGAATAGACAACAGGTGGAAATTATAGGCAATTAGCAAGACACCCCCAATAAAGGACTGGTTTTGCAGGTGGTGACCATAGACCACTTCTCAGTTCCTATGCTTCCTGGCTGATGTTTAGGTCACTTTTGAATGCTGGCGGTGCTTTCACTCTAGTGGTAGCATGAGACGGAGTCTACAACCCACACAAGTGGCTCAGGTAGTGCAGCTCATCCAGGATGGCACATCAATGCGAGCTGTGGCAAGAAGGTTTGCTGTGCCTGTCAGCGTAGTGTCCAGAGCATGGAGGCGCTACCAGGAGACAGGCCAGTACATCAGGAGACGTGGAGGAGGCCGTAGGAGGGCAACAACCCAGCAGCAGGACTGCTACCTCTGCCTTTGTGCAAGTAGGAGCAGGAGGAGCACTGCCAGAGCCCTGCAAAATGACCTCCAGCAGGCCACATGTGTCTGCTCAAATGGTCAGAAACAGACTCCATGAGGATGGTATGAGGGCCCGACGTCCACAGGTGGGGGTTGTGCTTACAGCCCAACACCGTGCAGGACGTTTGGCATTTGCCAGAGAACACCAAGATTGGCAAATTCGCCACTGGCACCCTGTGCTCTTCACAGATGAAAACAGGTTCACACTGAGCACATGTGACAGACGTGACAGAGTCTGGAGACGCTGTGGAGAACGTTCTGCTGCCTGCAACATCCTCCAGCATGACCGGTTTGGCGGTGGGTCAGTCATGGTGTGGTGTGGCATTTCTTTGGGGGGCCGCACAGCCCTCCATGTGCTCGCCAGAGGTAGCCTGACTGCCATTAGGTACCGAGATGAGATCCTCAGACCCCTTGTGAGACCATATGCTGGTGCGGTTGGCCCTGGGTTCCTCCTAATGCAAGACAATGCTAGACCTCATGTGGCTGGAGTGTGTCAGCAGTTCCTGCAAGAGGAAGGCATTGACGCTATGGACTGGCCCGCCCGTTCCCCAGACCTGAATCCAATTGAGCACATCTGGGACATCATGTCTCGCTCCATCCACCAACGCCACGTTGCACCACAGACTGTCCAGGAGTTGGCGGATGCTTTAGTCCAGGTCTGGGAGGAGATCCCTCAGGAGACCATCCGCCACCTCATCAGGAGCATGCCCAGGCGTTGTAGGGAGGTCATACAGGCACGTGGAGGCCACACACACTACTGAGCCTCATTTTGACTTGTTTTAAGGACATTACATCAAAGTTGGATCAGCCTGTAGTGTGGTTTTCCACTTTAATTTTGAGGGTGACTCCAAATCCAGACCTCCATGGGTTGATACATTTGATTTCCATTGATAATTTTTGTGTGATTTTGTTGTCAGTACATTCAACTATGTAAAGTAAAAAATATTTAATAAGATTATTTCATTCATTCAGATCTAGGATGATAGGCTACAATGACTTTGCTCATGCACGCCACATGACATAACATGACTATACATTTCTTGAATTTTCTTTCGCAGGTGCCTTTTCATTATCTGAATAGACACTTGTGGTTTCTAGCTAACGTTCCACCAATCAAAGCAATGGAGCGTGTAGTGAAGCAAAACTTTAGTGGTCAAAAACATTCATCTTGGGGCGACGGGGGGAGCAGGTTTGCAAAATGCTATCATATGACGCAATTATACAATTTATTTAATATATATATATATATTTTAATACAGACTAGATAAAAAATCTGTGAAAATGTACAAATTATCCAATGGATAATGATAATTTTCTGGTAAGAAAAAAGGAGGTGCAAAAACCTTTTAATTTGCTCCTATTTTAATTTGCTCCTATTTTAATTTGCTCCTATTTTAATTTGCTCCATGGCTCAAGTGGAACAAAGGCTGTCATCTCAGTAGCGAAGAGGAATAACATTGCAGCTGTTTCTGATTAATAAACAATGCCATGCTGGTGGGTGGTAACATTAAAATAAAACCCAGCACTGAAACGAAACGTAGGCTGAAAATAATCTGTATATCATATCATAAGAAATGACACTGCATTCACAAGGATTTGCACAAAGTGGGCAGTTCTGATTTTTTCACTTCAAGCCCAAATATATCATACTTTAATAATAATAATAATAATATGCCATTTAGCAGACGCTTTTATCCAAAGCGACTTACAGTCATGTGTGCAGACTAGATAAACTTTGACTAAAACAATGATTTATTGAATTAAATCGTTGTGCAACATCATGGGTAAGCTCTGGCCATCATCATCTTTCAGCTCGAAAAAGTGGATTTCTACTGGTGTGGGCGATTACAGGGATTGCTTTAGATAAATGAACAGAAAAACGATTTGGAGAAAAACTCCCTGATCAAATTAGTAGGCCACCCAGTGGGTGTGCTTTCTGGAATTTTATAAAATGTATACATTGTGCGCAAGGGAGCCACAACCGCAAACCTCGTTACGCACGTGCATAGGGTAAGTCTGAATAGCAAATACTGAGAAGTGCTTGAATCAAAACGTGTAAAAAAGGCATACATTTCCTAAGTCTGAATTGTTCCATTAGTGCACATGTACATGAGTTATGAAAACTCTTCAAAAGAGGGCACACAATCATCACTTTTGAACGAGCACCCACAGCCATAACCATAAGTCCATGGGCATCTTCTTGGCTGCTATCTACATGTAATATCATTGTGAGATGTTTCATCATATAAATGCTCACACAGTCCATACAATTGCAATACCTCATGTACTTTTTTCAAATTTTATTCATGTTTACTTACTTTTATTGAAATAAAAAAAAGACTGAACAAAACTAGATTCCAAAGTTGACAGCTACATAATTTTCATTGGCTGAACTTCACAACTTCAAATTGTACAATCACGGGGACCAGAAATCTGAAAAACCCATTCAAGTATATGCTTAATAAGTTACTATTCTTCAAAAATAATACCAAATAAATAAATACAAAATAAATACTAATAAAACAATCATGGAAAATAAATAGTCATACAAAAATGAGAAAAATCATTTCATGAGCCTCCGATATAGTACAAATCCACCATGCGATCTTGAGAGAGTGACAGTTGGAACATTACTTTTTCAACCTGATACAAACAAATCCAGTCTACTGAACCTGCTGTTTTCGACCTTTGACCCATAGAGGAGCTAGAGGAGAGTGTTCGGGAGGTTTCTGTGTCCTCGACCAGCAAGGTGCCCCTGTGTGGTGGCTTAGTTAGGGTCTAGTCTAGTCTGGTTGCTTCTCTAAGGATGGGCGACCTTGAACGTCCCATCAGCCCATTGGGCAGAACCAGGCAGAATCCCAGAATCACTTTGAGCCAGGAAGGGCAGAGGATCTGTCAGACAGAACAGAAACGTAGCCCCAGCGCCCCCTCCCCCACCCCCTTCTCTTGCCCTTTGTAGCCCCCACGTTGATGAGCTGGGGGTTCTGGGAGACAGGACCGCTAGCTAACTGGCTGGCTGCTTGCTGCTGCATTGCACACATGTTTGGGGGGTTGTTGTTGTCGTGGGGGTTGGCGCCTGGTTCCTAGGAGCTGGCAGCCGCAGCGCTGTTGAATTTGTCTAGGACGGTGGCGTTGACTCTCTGGAACAGCCACTGCTGCGTCTCGGACCCAGGGTCGCACTTGTTCATGAAAATCCTCTTATCACCGGGATTGCAGTCCATGCAACCGCTGCTCACCAGGTGGTACAGCGATTTATCCTGTATGTGTTGGCCCAGGGAGAGAGAGAGAGAGAGCGTGCGAGAAAGACACAGAGCGAGAAAGAAAAAGCAAGAGAGACAGCGAGAAAGAAGAGACACAGAGAGAGAGCGCATGAGGTAGAGAGAGAGAGAGAGAGCAGGAGGCAGAGAGAGAAGAGAGGGAGGAAAAGAAGGATTGAGATAAATTAATCAAATTAAGTAGAGAGACAGGCTGCTGTTTAATCCTGCTCTCTCATCTCCCACTCCCTTCAGACAGATTACAGACGAGGAGCTGAGCAACTGACTGCAACAAGGTTTTTCCTCCCTCCGTTCTAATCTGAGTTTACTTCATTTCATGGCGAGATGGGCCTGAATTTGAGAGTTAAACTAGGCTGAGAAATATGAGTTAAACACACAATAGTTTTTAAACCCAGAGTTCCAACGCACCATTACATTACTTTTCTGAATGTATATTCTTTGGGTTCATCCTCCCTCGCATGACAGAAAGGGGAAAGTAACAAATTCAGCTGTAAAAGAAAGAGGAATTGAAGGAAGTGCGAATCATTGAAAACTGACAACACAAAATAAAAATACATCCCTGGCTTCCCATGAAAGATTATCTATGGTGATTGCAAACTATTAAATAGAGCCAGTGATGGATTCAAACTGAAGAAAGGATTCCGTGGGGAGGGATAAAGTTGTGGAGGAGTGGAGAAAGATGAGGAGGGGGAGAACGCCTCAGAGGTACTTGCCAGTAATTTTGTTCGTCTCATGCGTCCGCCTTCCTGATTTACAATGTTCACACAGCTTCAAGCACCTCAGCCCTTTAATAAGTGGCTATTGCATCTGTGTAGCCTGAGTTCCAGACCTGACTGTGTTGTCTTGCCACAGTAATGGAGGTGGCAAACACCACAAACAGATCTGGGACTCAGGCTAGCATATGTGCAACTCTGAACCTAATTGAGTCATTCTAGGCAGAACCTTAGAGAGATGGGACTGTAATGACATACTGATTTTGTACTGAGTAAACATGAATCTCTCCTCCCTAAACGATGTGGAGGAAATGGGAGTGGTGTGACGATAAAATAAGTCCCCTATTACTTTCCTCTACCCGGAACGCAGCAGTAAAAACCAACAGTGTACATCTTTTCTATCTGATGACTTTAATATTGTGTTGTGACTGAATACATCAGGCCTACTTTCCTTGACTACAGTGTTTATGTGGCTACGTATGGACATTTCCCTGGTCTGTAGGACTGATATCAAAGCAATGTAGTTAGATTGCCTTGCTGTGGCAGTGAAATGACCAAACAACTTGTGTGTATTAGCTACTGTCCTGTGGCTGTGGTAGTAATTTGAATGATGAGGTGTTTGATGTGGTGCTATAACAATAATTATACTGTATATAAGTTACCAGGCTTTCTGTTACCTTACCTTCCATCTGAGATGTAAGGTTTATCGATTATTTATGTTCCACAAGTAATACAAAGCCAATACAGAAGTAAAGTAAGTAAGTAAGTAACATACAGATACAATATAATCATTTTGTATTTAATTCTGTGTTAAGTTACCTTCCTATAGCTCCAGTGCTGGTTGCCCTTCATGCCGTGGCAGTCGTACAGTGTGACAGGGGAACTCTGGGAGATGGAGTCAAAGCAGAACTTCCTGGTGTGGAGAGGATCCCCTGGCCTGATGTCCTCTCTCCAGCCAAATGTAAAGATCTGAGTACAAACATGTAGATAGTACAAACACACAGGCACAACATGGTATCCAAGTTCAATTATGAGATTAACAGTATGAATACCCTAAATGTCATTTTAGAGGGGAATGAACATGGGGACAAGAATGCAGTGATGATTGAATACAATAACTGTCATTTTAGAGGGGAATGAACATGGGGACAAGAATGCAGTGATGATCTATTCATATTTAACAGTAAACAGCAGGAAAATGTGTTGCATATGGAGCAATCGCCAGCTGCAGTATCCTAAACTTGTTTTGTATTAAAGGAAAACTCCACCCAAAAAGGATATTTTGGTATTTGATTCATTAGTCCATTGTTGATATAGTCCCAAAATGTTTTGCATTTCAGCAATCATGTTTTCAAGATACATAACTTTCAAAATACAGAAATACAGCCAGTATGATGCAAAATGATACAAAATGCATCACACCGGCTGTATTTCTGTATTTTGAAAGTTATATATCTTGAAAACTTGATTGCTGACAAGCAAAACTTTTAGGGACTATATCAACAATGGACTAATGAAACAAATACCAAAATATAGATTTTGGGTGGAATGTTCCTTTTAGTGTAGTTCTGTGTATTTCATATATTATGGTTCATTTGAGAGACTAAGCGTTGCGAGGGCTGTTTTGCAGACAGCATGTTGCGACTAATCTTTCATCAAACGATTGCAATGATAATCTTTAATCAAAGGATTTGCAGGGTACCCTCCCAAAAAGGTATTTCTTGCAAAAAAGACTTTGGTCTTAAAGGGGCAATCTGCAGTTCAAACAAAAACATTTGCAAGTTATATTCTTCAAGTATCAATGGATACATATAATTCAAGTCCCAAAATGGATGTAGCAATCACAGATTGCCACTTTAATGGGACTCCCTGCCTAAATAAAGATTAAATAAATAAAACATACAGCTACAGTATGACTCATGGAAGGGTCATTCTTGACTATTAGTTACTGACTGACTGACTGAATGAATGATTAACAGGCCGGACTCATGGAGGGGTCATTCCTGACTATTACTGACTGACTGACTGGCTGAATGATTAACAGGCCGGTGATGTGCTGTACCAAGAGCCATACAGTATAATATAGTATAGACTACACCGTACTATACAGTATAATATAGTATAGACTACCCCCTACTATACAGTACAATATAGTATAGACTACACCCTACTATACAGTATAATATAGTATAGACTACCCCCTACTATAGAGTATAATATAGTATAGACTACCCCCTACTATACAGTATAATATAGTATAGACTACCCCCTACTATACAGTACAATATAGTATAGACTACACCCTACTATACAGTATAATATAGTATAGACTACACCCTACTATACAGTATAATATAGTACAGACTACACCCTACTATACAGTATAATATAGTATAGACTACACCCTACTGTACAGTACAATAAAGTATAGACTACACCCTACTATATAGTACAATATAGTATAGACTACACCCTACTATACAGTATAATATAGTATAGACTACACCCTACTATATAGTACAATATAGTATAGACTACACCCTACTATACAGTATAATATAGTATAGACTACCCCCTACTATACAGTACAATATAGTATAGACTACACCCTACTATACAGTATAATATAGTATAGACTACACCCTACTATACAGTACAATAAAGTATAGACTACACCCTACTATACAGTATAATATAGTATAGACTACACCCTACTATACAGTACAATATAGTAGAGACTACACCCTACTATACAGTATAATATAGTATAGACTACCCCCTACTACAGTATAATATAGTATAGACTACACCCTACTATACAGTATAATATAGTATAGACTACACCCTACTATACAGTATAATATAGTATAGACTACACCCTACTATACAGTACAATATAGTAGACTACACCCTACTATACAGTATAATATAGTATACACTACACCCTACTATACAGTACAATATAGTATAGACTACACCGTACTATACAGTATAATATAGTATAGACTACACCCTACTATACAGTATAATATAGTAATAATATAATAATAATATGCCACAGTATATACAGTATAATATAGTATAGACTACACCCTACTATACAGTATAATATAGTAATAATATAATAATAATATGCCATTTAGCAGACGCTTTTATCCAAAGCGACTTACAGTCATGCGTGCATACATTTTTTGTGTATGGGTGGTCCCGGGGATCGAACCCACTACCTTGGCGTTACAAGCGCCGTGCTCTACCAGCTGAGCTACAGAGGACCACATTTGATTGACTGTCTCATTTGCCTAATTCTCTTTATAGCATTCAGGTGAGCTTGGCTGGTTTCACAGTATGGCTCAATAATGCATGAGTCCAGCAGCACTGCATCTAAAGTAGCCTGGTCTCTGTATAGACTACACCCTACTATACAGTACAATATAGTATAGACTACACCCTACTATACAGTATAATATAGTATAGGTCCTGTGTAGCTCAGTTGGTAGAGCATGGCGCTTGCAACGCCAGGGTTGTGGGTTCAATTCCCATGGGGGGCCAGTATGAAAATGTATGCACTAACTGTAAGTCGCTCTGGATAAGAGCGTCTGCTAAATGACTAAAATGTAAATGTATAGACTACACCCTACTATACAGTATATGGATCTGGTTGTACCTACCTGTTCGTGTGCCCAGGTGCGTTCAGCCCCCTCCTTCAGACAGGCGTCCAGTCGCAGCTCTGTCCCTGTGGGGCCGTGCTTGGAGTCTATGCACAGACCTGATGCAGCGTTACGAATCTACAAGGACACAAAGAGAGAGAGAGCTCAGTTAAAACCAAACACACACACACACACTTCGAAGCCTCCCAAAAACAGCAAAAGGGAGGTTCGGTGAAGACTTGCACGCACACACACACGCACCATGCATTATAGATCTATAGATATAGAGACCACAGGATGAGATATCAACATCAGCTTCTCTCTGAGGCTCGACGCTCTGATCACAGGACTCCAGAGTATAGTGAGTGGAATCCATGGCAACCTTCCAAACAGACAGTACACAGTAACTTAGTACAAGCAGCCAACTTTTTATACACAGTATGTGGTTTTAAGTAACAGCATATGATCTGACATGGTATCAAAGCTCTCACAGTTTGCTGACAAGATCTACTCTCACCAGTGACTGTAAGAGATAAGCTAATTCGTTCCTGGAGCATCTTTCTCCCTCAAAGCCTGAGTTAATAGGCGCCCCTACTGTGAAAACGTTTAAAGTTTCAGAGTTACTTGGCTCTAACACACATTTGATTGACTGTCTCATTTGCCTAATTCTCTTTATAGCATTCAGGTGAGCTTGGCTGGTTTCACAGTATGGCTCAATAATGCATGAGTCCAGCAGCACTGCATCTAAAGTAGCCTGGTCTCTGTCTGTCTCTGTGGCCCTCACTAACACATTCAGAGGAGAGAGAGAGGCGAGGGCAGAGGAGAGGAGAGGGCAGAGGAGAGGAGAGAGAGAGAGGCGAGGGCAGAGGAGAGGAGAGAGAGAGGCGAGGGCAGAGGAGAGGAGAGAGAGAGAGGCGAGGGCAGAGGAGAGGAGAGAGGAGGAGGAGGAAGACAGAGGGCAGAGGAGGAGAGAGGGGGGAGAGTGAGTTAGAGTGTGTGAGAGATATAGAGATGGATAGAGCTGGAGAGAGAGAAAGATAGTGAGGGAGCGCGAGAGAGAGAAAGAGAGAGAGAGAGAGATTGAGAGAGAGATAGAGAGAGAGAGAGAGAGAGAGAGAGAGAGAGAGAGAGAGAGAGAGATAGAAATGGTTGGAGAGAGCAGGTCCTACAGGGTCAGACTGAGACACTTTATTTGACAGGAGGGAGACCAGGGATGGAATACTCAGAGGGAGGTGTTTTGCATAGGGTTGATTCTCTTTTAAACGTTGTTCCTCTGCTCGCCACTAGATGGGGCCAAAGTCATTAGCTAGGACTGTAGCAAATGATGGTGATTGTTTGACTGTTAGTGTGGAGAATGTCTGACAACAACGCTATGGTTGGCTCTGAAAATGTTGATTATAAAAATGTATACCAACTCAATGTCAGCTCTCCTCAATGTTGTGCATGTTTTTCTAATAATAGAGTACAGATTATGGCTTTTATTTGGGGACAGGATAACCTATGTTTCTTTTATGGAGTTATGCACTTGAGATACAAACTCTTGAGCTATGAAAAATGGAGCAACAAAAACTAAACTAAAGGAATGAGAGAAAAATTCTCTATAAAATGGCGGCACATTTCTTGCCTCAGTGCTTGGTGTCCCTTTGGCTGGTCCTGCATCTAAACTAGAGAGGCTCTCCCCTTTTCCCATCATGAATGAGTGACATTTCAGGACAAGTGATTTCAACAACAGGAACATCCATTAGGTACAGGTCAGATGTCACCAATTTTCCACAGGCAGCCCCATCTCTGGAAGGTCACATTGTCACCCACACATAGTTCTACTCTGAGATAAGATGACTTATAATCTCTAGGATGCAGCCAACGGGAAAATACAGGGGAAACACAGTTTTCCTGACATAGACCTAATTCAATCGGACTCTATTCCAAAAGGATAATATATACCAATAATACCAATATTTTTTGCGAAGTTCTACAGTAATTTACATGGCAAACAATATTAAGAGTTTAGTCCTTTAAATGCTGCAAACAAACTTTGCACTTTTGTGCCTATCAGGCACCCGTGGAGCTGCATTACCGTGTAATAAAGTAAAAGGCTTTGGCAGAAGTGGAGTCGGAAATGCTAAATAATACCCACCTGCATTGCAATTCAGAAACTTCTAATAATCAAACTCCCTCAGCCTGCCGCCCGCATCGACAAAGTGCATTTAACCACACGGTCATTAGGAGTAAACTGCTGATCGCTCTGAAAGACCAATAATGGAGCCAGAATTGTACAGTATAATGGGCCTTCACTCTCCACTTTTCCCAAGCCTCATCTGTCTGAAATGGGCCCAGGAGCAAAGTGCTTATGCCTGATGCCATGCCCATCAACATGCCAGTGCTGATGTGGAGACACAGTTAGAGACGAATCAAAAGGCCTGATGATTGCATCACTTAAAGTGATTTAGACCTATTGAAGGAGCCGTGATGTGGAGTTGTGGGGAGGGAGGGAGATTGGATGTTGGGGAGGGGGGCATAGTGACAGCCCCCTATTTACCCAGTCTGCACAGCTCCGAGGCTGAGGTGTCGAGAAGGCTGACCCCCTGATTGTCATCTTCCATAGATGTAGAGGAAGTTTAATCTGAGCTCTCTCGCCTTCTCTCTGTCTGTCTCACAATCTCACTCTCTCTTTGTCCCTCTGATCTTATCCCCTTCTCTCTCTCTCTCTCTCTCTCACACACACTCTCTCTCTCTCTCTCTCTCTCTCTCTCTCTCTCTCTTTCTGTCGGTCTCCCCCCTCTCTCTTCTCTCACCCTCTCCTCCCTTGTCTCTCTGTCTTGCAATCTGGGCTTGAATACCCAATGAGAGATCTTTATAGTTCCATAGATCAGGCGGGGTGACAGCGGGGTGACAGGCGGGGTGACAGGCAGGGTGAGAGCCAGAGAAGAGACGGCACATGAAGCTGTCAGCCTGACGGTAAAATGACTATCATCCTCACACGGGGGAGGAATGAGGAGATATTGACCTACCGTGCAAACATTTTCTCATCAAGATATACACCGCTTCATTTCTTATTTACTATCCATGTTCACCTCTGGCTTATACGGAAGGAGTGGTTAATCAGCAGGGACGGTAATAAGCTGGGACTTGTGTCGTGTGTGTGTGTGTGTGTGTGTGTGCGTGTGTGTGTGTGTGTGTGTGTGTGTGTGTGTGTGCTTGTACAATTTGTGCTAATGGCCTTGTAGACGTGAACAGCAGAGAGCAGGAAAGGTGGGTCACCGTGGAGACGGTCTTCCATTCTACCTATTATAATTAGTACCCTGACCTAGGAGCCAGGACGTCAGAAAAACACAGAAAATGAGATTTTCTAAAAGAAGGCAGAGCAAGGAATCCAATTATGTCTAACGCAAAATTAATTACATTTGTCATATTAACGTGCAATGTGTTCGCCGTGAGCGTTCTGAAATGTTTCAGGGGCTTGAGAGGAGGATGTGGTTTCCTTCCGGCATATAGGATGAATTAATTAGTGAATGATATATTCCAGGTCCATCTAACCATCTATCAGTGATGATTAAAAACACTCCTGCCCCCAACCTCCCTATGGAAAAACACAGGTTGGGAAACAATCTCCATGAATACCTGATTCTTAGCCTGGAATCCCCACTGTTTAAATGGTCAACTGAGCATACGAGTGTGGATTCCAGGCTACCTGATTCCAGCTCCTGCATTTACGGGCATGATTGCCTGAGGCTAGATCTCATCCTCACAGAGCGCAGATAGATAGAGTGAGATAGTGTGTGTGTGTGTGTGTGTGTGTGTGTGTGTGTGTGTGTGTGTGTGTGTGTGTCAGAGAACAGATGAGTGTGATAGTAATAAAATACCAAGGCCATCTCCAGCCCCATCCCTTCACAGGTAACACAGAGAGGCCTTATATATATATCTCAGGATACGACGCAGAAAACTGCATGTCATGTTTATGGACAATGTATAGTAGTAGAGACAAACTACAATGCAGAGCTGCTACTTATGGTTTGTGGGGGGAGTGATGCATTGAGTCCAGCTGTGTCCGTTTTGTGACATTGTCTACTCTAAAACATTTCATTACCAGGCTGCTGGCTGCCTGTTCGATATGAGAAACGCATTACGTTTCAGCGAGCACCAGACATTCATAAATCAATGAACATGGTATGAGTTCCAAATGGCACCCTATTCCCTATATAGCGCACTATTTTGGACCAGAACCCTCTGGCCAAAAGCAGTGCACTATAAAGGGAATAGGGTGCCATTTTGGACACAGTATGGTAGAAAAATAGCCTTTTGTGACACACCTGTGGAGGCATTTAGGGACCGTCTCTTAGCTGATGTATTGGTGTCTGGAAATAGATTCATTCATTACAATACCAGCTAAAAATACACAAGAAACCAAATCAGCCTGTGGATACTGCTCAGCCTTAGCTGTTATTGGTGGCATGTACGACAGTGGGTTTATGTAGCGCCTAAGTATTGTGAGAAGTCCTGTTATTTGTATCAATGCCTCAGTAAGGGACCTCGAAAACATGACCTGACGTTTCATTTTGGATTCTAAGGTCATCACATATGCTTTTATATGCCTTTGTATGCCTTTCTGTTTGTGTATGTGTGTGTGTGCGGGCTCTTGTATGTGTGTGTGTGTGGTCGTTCTGCATGTATTCCTAACTTCCTACCTCTCCCCAGGCGGCAGGCAGCGGCTCCACAGTGGGGTAGTACTTGGCCAGGTCCCAGGCTACAGCATTCATGTACCACTTGAAGTCCTTACACTTGAGGTGTCTCCTCAGCTCCTTCTGGGCCGTCAGGTCCCCGGTGGACAGGTGGCGGTACTCCGGGCGCCGCTGGTAGATGAACTCCGTGTACTCATCCATCCATGTTTCGGCCACCCTCTTCAGGTTCTGAGATAAGGGAGAGAGACAGGGAGGGAGAGATGGGGTAAGGAGATGGAATGTCTGTGTGTTTAGCTTATCACAGCACAGTTCACAGTGCGGCGAGTTAGTCAGACCTCATCTTAAATCAGATAGATGGCTGGACCTACATCCTCAGTTTGACTATCAGCCATGTGCCAATTAATGAATAGACAACCAGTCAAAATGTATGCATGTTAGCCATAACCAGTTGATGGAAGCAGTGTATTGACTGGTCACTCTGACTTACTCTAGCTAGGCTTGTTCCGGACGGCACTTTGTAGGGGACGTATTTCCTGTAGATATGTCCTACTCGGGAGCATGGTACGTCGTACATACTACCCCCACACATCCATACCTGAAGGGAGATGGAACACAAAAAATACCTCAGTACATTACTTCAAAACCTTTCTATCAACCTGCTTAACTATGTGTTCTAAGCAAGGCCGCAAAACCTTTCTAACTCAACCAACTGTGTGTTGTAAGTACATTTACATCTTATCCAGAGCGACTTACAGTTGCATACATTACTTTTTATTTTTTATACCCCCCATGAGAATCAAACCCACAACCCTGGCGTTGCAAACGCCATGCTCTACATCCCCTGCCGGCCATTCCCTCCCCTACCCTAGACAACACTGGGCCAATTGTGCACCGCCCCATGGGTCTCCCGGTCGCAGCCGGCTACAACAGAGCCTGGAATCGAACCAGGATCTCTAGTGGCACAGCTAGCACTGCGATGCAGTGCCTTAGACCACTGCGCCACTCGGGAGACTTGGGTTGCAAAGTAGGGTTGCACAATTTTGGAACTTTCAATAAATTCTCTGGTTTTCCCGAAATCCCAGAATCAGGAGGGAATAAACAGGAAATCCTGAATCATCCAACCAGGTATTCTGGAAAACCAGAGAATGTATTGAAAGTTCCCGACATTTTGCAACCCTAGTTGTGAGCATTGAAGTAAAGAAAGTCAGCAAGGCCGCAAAGAAAAAAGAGAACCCACTCTTTGTTTTTCCTCTTTTCCCAGAAAGGAATCACAGGTATTTTTCGATTTCAAAGCCCTGAGTTCTTGTGGACTGAGTTATTTTCAGAGTGAGGGTATTGTTGTTGAAATGGCTGTGTAGCTGGGTTCGTGTTCTGCTTGTTGCAAGACCCTAATACAGACAACCTATTGTCACTCTGTCCACACTTGAAGTGGATTCCCACTTTGTCTGCTTGGCAGGGCCACATTATAAGCCTCTTTGAGCGGAGGGACTGAAAGGAATCCTATTTCCAGAGCACTCCACTAGATACCCCTCTTTTCCTGCATCAAAGGAACAGATAGAAAGAACAGGGGGAGAGAGAAGGAGGAAGGAAGAGGGCATGTGTCAGTAGTGGTACTCTGAACCCCTTCAGTCGTCTGACCTCTCCCTTACCTACTCCTTTTGCTGCCTCCCTTACCGTCTCCCTTGCTCTCTCCCTTACTGCCTCCCTTACCGTCTCCCTTGCTCTCTCCCTTACCGTCTCCCTTGCTCTCTCCCTTACTGCCTCCCTTGCTCTCTCCCTTACTGCCTCCCTTGCTCTCTCCCTTGCTGTCTCCCTTACTGCCTCCCTTGCTCTCTCCCTTGCTATCTCCCTTACTGCCTCCCTTGCTCTCTCCCTTACTTCCTCCCTTACCGTCTCCCTTGCTCTCTCCCTTACTGCCTCCTTTTCTCTCTCCCTTGGTGTCTCCCTTACTGCCTCCCTTGCTGTCTCCCTTACTGCCTCCCTTGCTGTCTCCCTTACTGCCTCCCTTGCTCTCTCCCTTACTGCCTCCCTTGCTCTCTCTCTTACTGCCTCCCTTATAGCCTCTCTTGCTCTCTCCCTTACTGCCTCCCTTACTGCCTCCCTTGCTCTCTCCCTTACTGTCTCCCTTACTCTCTCCCTTACTGTCTCCCTTGATCTCTCTTCCTCCCTATACTTCTCTTTATCTCTTAATGTCCCTCCATTCTTTCTCATTCCTCTCCCCTCTTTCCCTCCCTCTCTCCCTCTTAGAATTAGAGTGGTCATGCTGACTGTTTGGAAAGGATCCTGGGACATTTCACCTCTCCTCCGCTTCTCCTCCTCTCTCCCGCTGTGTGTGTGAGCGCTCCACCTCTCTCCCTGCTCTGCCATATCAAACGAGGCAGGGTGCTTTCCTGTGGAGCCTCAGGTTAATGGTCAAGCTGGCTTTACATGCTTCATTGACATGTGGAGAGATTCCTCCAGTCTTCAGAAAATGGTCTCATCAGAGGACAAGTGTAGATGTTCATTAACCTCTCATATCAGCAGAAATATGAGGGTTTTATGAATTATTCCCATGTGTTCATGAGTAACTAGTTTTAGCGTACAACTCATAGGAAGAGGTAAAATACCTTGAGATGCTTTGATGATATCTCTTCAATGTGAGACACAACCAGTGTCAATAGATTGTCAGTCTAACATCTACCATATATAGGCTAACTGTCAGACATCCATATTCAGTGGCAGTAGGGGAAAGTGGGGTAAGTTAAGCCAAAGGGGTAAGTTGAGCCACCCTTGTTTCTAAGAAGCCATACACAAAATTAATCATTTGACCAAATATTTCGGGAGAGGTCATCATTTCATGGAGTCTGTGAAGGAAGAAACCACATGGAAAAAGTGGTAAGCAGGTTAGGTCCAAAAAGTCAAATGAATTTATTGTGTTAGAGGTTTCATGATGCGTGTATCTAAACCAAAGTAGATCATTTGAAGTGTTCTATACATTAGTTGGGGTCTCTATAAGCTTCAATATGAGGTCCTAAACCTAGCCTGAAAGTGCATCCTTGTAGCTGTGTGGGCTAATATAGTCAAAATATTTGCCTTGGGGTAAGTTGAGCCAATGGTTGAGCCAATGGCAAGTTGAGCAAATTGAAGTATTTTCTTCCCAAGCGTAATACAAGGAATTATTGGTGGGATATGAGGCAACAACAGGGCCTGGCTGATGTTAAAAGTGTTTAAAAAAATACAAAGTGTTTGTTAGGTGTTAAGCCTGTGTTAAAATATGCTTTAAATTATTAAAAGACCAAAAAGCAATTGTGATTATGTTGAACTGTGTTTGGGAAATAAAGATGGTTTTAAAAATGTACAGAAATGTGTAGGCGGCATTGCTATATTTTCAAAACTGTAATGTTTACATTAATTCTGATTATTTCCAGGGATATACAACATCCTGAAATATATGTAGATGTATTTGTTAGAAATAATACTATATTTCACAGACAGAATGATGCTGAATGTATAAAATGGCTCTCCTTACCCCCTCTCCCCTAAGTAACTGGACCAGACCACTCTGAACCATAGCTTTTAACATTTAGACAGATGGGGGCGCAACCGTGTAATAATTACACTTCTGCTTGATTTGTGTGCTTATTGTACACTTCTGAATTCTCAATGCAAAATAACACCAATGACTCAAATAACACACAGATTAACACAAATGTCTGAACCCCACTCCCACCTCTGTAAGAAGACTTATTGCAATCTTGCTTGGGAACTATTTTTATCGTTGCCATGGTTTCCAGTCAAGGAAGAAAGGGCTGCATTCCAATTACAAAGTGCACTCACTGACAGAACGAGAGCGATAGAGAGAGAGAGAGAGAGAGAGAGAGAGAGAGAGAGAGAGAGAGAGAGAGAGAAAGAGAAAAAGCGAGAGAGAGAGAGTATATTGAGACCCGGTATGATGGCAGGTATATCAGGAACAATAAACACAATGCTCCCTCACATCCATATACTGTGTTCTCCTCCGGATATCAAAATGGAATCACCTCTGAGCCGCAAACAAGCCAATTAATTAGTTCGGGAAGGAGGCTAAAGCCTGAACTACTCCTTGTAACGCTCTAACACACACACACACACACACACATGTGCGCACACGGTTGCGGACACACGGGCACACACACACACACACACACACACAAACACACAAACATTATTTTGGGATGCTGGGTTCTGAGGAATGTATTGTACTGGAGCAGGTGGGGGAAATAAAACACTGGAGAACAGAGCGAGAGCAATTCTCCTGGGTGAAAGTCGTTCCAGTTTAATAAAGTTGTCTGGGAGCTGATTGACCTGTCTGGAGACTGAGGCAGGGGTACGGTGGGACAGGATGGAAAAGAATGGACGAAAGAACCACATTGTTATGGGTCCATGACTGTCTAGGCTCTAATATCATTGCAAGGTTGGTAGACTTCATTGTGTTTTAAATCATCTGTCTCTTTTAAGGGATTGTTGTGCTCAGATGAATGACGCAACTTTATATGTATTTTAAATATGTCCAATCAAATTCATTAAAGGTAAGGTGGGACAGTCACTGGATGAAAAAGGTGGAAGAGCCACATTGCTATGTGACCATGATTGTATCATATAACCTATTAGTAAATATTATTTATATTGTATCATATCCTGTCATATTGAATCAGAGATTAGTGGCATTTATATGTGGTGTTACACACAGTGCCGATAAGGGCTAAATGGAAGCACCTCAGCATAGATAGAAGTGGATAGTATAGACCAGGGGTCGGCAACAGACAACACGCGGCCCGCGGGCCAAAACCAGCCCGCGAGTGATTAAAAAATATATATGTATTATTATATATTTTGGAGGAGGGGTTTTCGTTTTTGGTTAAAAAAAAATCTAAAATCACCAGAAATTTAGCTAGAAATTAGTTTCATTTAGGAAATCTGTTCACCAAGTATTCCCATGAATAAACAAAAGAGATACAATGTATTTGGAAAGTATTCAGACCCCTTGACTTTTTCCACATTTTGTTACGTTACAGCCTTATTCTAAAATGGATTAAATTTTAGTTTTTTCTCGTCAATCTACACACAATACCACATAATGACAAAGAAAAAACAGGTTTTTAGAATTTTTTTGCAAATGTATTGAAAATAAAAAACAAAAATATGACATTTACATTAGTATGCAGACCCTTTACTCAGTACTTTGTTGAAGCACCTTTGGCAGCGATTACAGCCTCGAGTCGTCTTGGGTATGACGCTACAAGTTTGGCACACCTGTATTTGGGGAGTTTCTTCCATTCTTCTCTGCAGATCCTCTCAAGCTCTGTCAGGTTGGATGGGGAGCGTCGCTGCACAGCTATTTTCAGGTCTCTCCAGAGATTTTAGATCAGGTTTAAGTCTGGGTTCTGGCTGGGCCACTCAAGGACATTCGGATACTTGTCACAAAGCCACTCCTGCGTTGTCTTGGCTGTGTGTTTAGGGTCTTTGTCTTGTTGGAAGGTGAACCTTCGCACCAGTCTGAGGTCCTGAGCACTCTGGAGCAGGTTTTCATCAAGGATCTCTCTGTACTTTGCTCCGTTCATCTTTCCCTCGATCCTGACTAGTCTCCCAGTCCCTGCCACTGAAAAAGATCCCCACTGCATGATGCTGCCACCACCATGCTTCACCGTAGAAATGCCAGGTTTCTTCAAGATGTGAAGCTTGGCATTCAGGCCAAAGAGTTCAATCTTGGTTTCATCAGACCAGAGAATCTTGTTTCTCATGGTCTGAGTCCTTTAGGTGCCTTTTGGCAAACTCCAAGCGGGCTGTCATGTGCCTTTTACTGAGAAGTGGCTTCCATCTGGCCACTCTACCATAAAGGCACAATTGGTGGGTGCTGCAGAGATGGTTGTCCTTCTGGAAGGTTCTCCCATCTCCACAGAGGAACTCTGGAGCTCTGTCAGAGTCACCATCGGGTTCTTGCTCACCTCCCTGACCAAGGCCCTTCTCCCCCGATTGCTCAGTTTGGCTGGGCGGCCAGCTCTAGGAAGAGTTTTGGTGGTTCCAAATGTCTTCCATTTAAGAATGATGGAGGCCACTGTGTTCTTGGGGACCTTCAATGCTGCAGACATTTTTTGGTACCCTTCCCCAGACCTGTGCCTTGACACAATTCCGTCTCGGAGCTCTACGGACAATTCCTTCGACCTCATGGCTTGGTTTTTGCTCTGACATGCACTGTCAACTGTGGGACAAATCATGTCCAATCAATTGAATTTACCACATGTGGACTCCAATCCAGTTGTAGAAACATCTCAAGGATGATCAATGGAAACAGGATGCACCTGAGCTCAATTTCGAGTCTCATAGCAAAGGGTCTGAATACTTATGTCAATGTCATATTTCAGTCTTGTATTTGTAATAGATTTGCAAGAATTTAAAAAAAAAAACGTTTTCGCTTTGTCATCATGGGGTATTGTGTGTAGACTGATTCATTATTATTTTTAAAAATCAATTTTAGAACAAGGCTCTAATGTAACAAAATGTGGAAAAAGTCAAGGGGTCTGAATACTTTCCGAATGCACTGTATGTGATTGTGTCTACATCTAATCAAGTTATGAAATGATTGTTATTTTCAAATAAATCTATGTTGGGGCTTTTAGTTGTGGTCAATTTGCAGTGGAGAGTCCCTTGGAGAGCCCCTTGGAGAGCCCCTTGGAGATCCCCTTGGATGAGTGAGGAAACTAATCAATTAAAGAGAAATTGCAGAAGTGGAGAAAGTCAAAGTTGCAGGTCCATTATGATATTCTGAGAGAGCAACTTGGCATATATAACAACGCAATTAGAAATACTGTCATGAGCACTCTCTCTCCCTGGTAGCAACATTAATTGCATTCAATTCTCTGCCACTCTGCTCACTCTCTCCCTACTCTGCCTAACGAGCTCCACCTGGCTCCGCCCTGCTCTGCTCTTGTTACCTGGCCAGCTGCACTGCATTTCCCACTCACCATCCTCACCTTGCCTCACTCTGTTCTAATTACTCTGCCAGCTGAACTGCATTTCCCCACTAACCTCTCCCAGTATATCAAGCCCTGTTTTTCAGCCAAGCCCTGTCAGATCGTCTTCAAACCCGGACCAGTAACCTGCCTGTCTGCGCTCTGACTCCTGTTTGTGATACCGATCCTTTCTTGACTGCCTCCTTGTTCTACTGCCCCGTCTATCCCGACCTGCCTTCTGGACCTCGACTACTCTCCGATCTTCAGCCCCTCCGGTAACTCGATTCTGCCTTCTGTCTCTCACCACGATATTTGCCCAGCCCTGATCTGTACTTCTGCCTGCCATTCATATTGCTGTTGTGTGTGTGTTCCCCCAGGTCTCCGACCACCAGATGAGCGTGCCCAGACGCTTCACCACCCTCAGCCCGATACGCCGCTCCATCACTGGGGAACACACACACTAAGCACTTGGACTGGACACCCCCGGACATTTGGTGACCCCCGGAGCACAGGTACCCACAGGACCCTGAAAAACCCCAGAGCCCCAAGCACCCCTGGAACCCCTGATACCCCTGGCACTCCTCTTCCCGCCTGAAACCTTCAATAAAGAACTCTGAATTTGAACTTGCGCTCTTGGGTCCTCTTCTGTCCGTGACAGAACGATCTGACCATCATGGACCCAGCGCACTCCCTGACCACGATGGAAGAAGAGCCAGAGATGACTGCCATACAGCGACTGGAACGCTCTGAGGGAGACATAAATCGGATGGCTGGCGACATCGCTTCCCTTCTCCAGCTATTCAACCAGCAGCAACAACAGTTCCAACTGCAGCAACAACAGCTAGCCCAAGCCCTGCAACTACTCTCAAACCCGGCTACTCCACCTGCACCCCCCCCTGGTCCTTCTGTTCCTGTACCACCGACACTCCTTCATCCCTCCGCTGGAGGTCCCAATGCTGCAGGCCCGGCAGTGCTGCCACCAGATCCCCACGCTCCTGAACCAAAGATTGGGAACCCGGAACGTTTTGATGGCAACCAGAAGCAAGTAAGACCATTCTTGAGCAGCTGCCGAATCCAGTTTGCACTACAGCCCAGGACTTTCTCAACAGAGGGAGCCAAGGTGGGGTATGTCATCACACATCTCACCGGTCGAGCTCGGTTGTGGGGAACGGCGGAATTCGACCGGCAAACCCCAGCCTGTGCCTCCTTCAGTGCCTTTGAGGAGGAGATGTTAAAGGTCTTTGACCTAGGCTCGCCAACAGCCGAAGCGTCACAAGCTCTGCTCACCATCCGTCAGGGCAATCGGACAGTGGCAGACTTCTCCATTGACTTTCGTACCCTGGCCAGTCAAAGCTCGTTTAACCCAGAGGCACTGGTGCAAGCCTTCCTCCATAGCCTGGCGGACTATATCAAAGACGAGCTTGTTTCCCATGACCCGCCCTCAACGCTTGATGCCGCCATTGACCTTGCCGTCCGCATTGACCGCCGTATACAGACCCGGAGGAGGGAGAAGGGCCGTCTCAGTCAACCTGCCATCCGCACTCGGGTCGATACCGCTTCTGTCCAGCCCCTGCCTGTCAAGTCCCATAGCCAACTCAGTCAGCCTGAGCCCATGGAGATTGGCCGTGCCTCTCTGACTCCCGAGGAGCGTCGGCGCCGTCTAAGCTCCAACCTTTGCCTCTACTGTGGTGGCGAGAATCACCGTGTCGCCACTTGTCCGGCAAAAGCCGCAGCTCACCAGGTGTAGGGGAGATCCGGGTGAGCTCAACAAGCCTTCAGTCTCCCTCCATCCGAAAGACCCTGCTTCATCTCCGCCTTCAGCTTTCTGACAAGACTCATACATTGGCCGCCCTTGTGGATTCCGGAGCCGAAGCAAACATCATGGACCCTGAGCTTGCACAGCAACTGGGCGTGAACCATCATCAACTGACACAACCCATTCCTGCACGAGCCCTGGATGGGCATCATCTTGGCACTGTCACTCATATCTCCGCCCCTGTGACAATCCTGCTGTCAGGAAACCACCAGGAGTCCATCCAGTTTCACCTCCTACACTCACCTGGCCAACCACTCATTCTTGGATACCCGTGGCTCCGTCAGCACAACCCCCACATCGACTGGGAGACAGGAACAGTCCGTGAGTGGGGAAGGAGTTGTCACCAGACCTGTTTAAGGGGGGCCACCCTGCCCGTTCACCGGGAAAGATCTAGCGCTACCTCCGACATATCCAATGTTCCGGCCTGTTACCACAGCCTGAAAGAGGTGTTCAACAAATCCAAGGCGACATCTCTACCCCCACACAGACCCTATGACTGCGCGATTGATCTCCTGCCTGGCACAGCACCTCCCAAGGGTCGTCTGTATTCACTGTCAGCCCCGGAAAGAAAGGCCATGGAGGACTACATTAATGACTCTCTTGCCGCCGGGATAATTAGACCGTCATCTTCCCCCGCAGGAGCGGGATTCTTCTTTGTCGGCAAGAAGGACGGTTCTCTTCGTCCATGCATAGATTACCGGGGTCTGAACGACATCACGGTTAAGAATCGCTACCCACTGCCCTTACTTTCGTCTGCCTTCGAACTGCTGCAGGGAGCCACTGTATTCACAAGGCTGGACCTTCGCAATGCCTACCATCTGGTGCGGATGAGGGAGGGAGACGAATGGAAGACAGCGTTCAACACACCAACCGGCCACTATGAATATCTCGTCATGCCCTTCGGCCTCACCAATGCCCCAGCAGTTTTTCAAGCCCTAGTGAATGATATCCTCAGGGACATGCTAAATACGTTCGTATTTGTGTACCTTGACGATATTTTAATATTCTCAAAGACTCTGTCAGAACACACGCACCACGTCCAGTTGGTCCTGCGCCGCCTGCTGGAGAACTCTCTTTTCGTGAAGGCAGAGAAGTGCGAGTTCCATGCCAAAACCGTTTCATTCCTGGGGTATGTGGTGACCGAGGGCAGCATTCAGATGGATCTCACGAAGGTGTCGGCTGTCACTTCCTGGCCAGTTCCTGAGTCTCGGAAAAAGTTGCAACAGTTCCTGGGCTTTGCCAACTTTTATAGGAGATTCATCAGAAACTATAGCACAGTGGCTGCACCCCTCACGGCGCTAACCAGCACTAAACAACCGTACCAATGGACATCAGCTGCTGATAAGGCCTTCAATATCCTCAAGACATGTTTCACTTCTGCTCCCATCCTCCAGATGCCAGATGCAGCAAGGCAGTTTGTGGTGGAGGTAGATGCTTCGGACGTGGGAGTGGGTGCAGTGCTTTCTCAAAGAGCAGCTGAGGATGGCAAGATGCACCCCTGTGCCTTCTACTCCCGTCGGCTAACCCCTGCCGAATGCAACTACGACATTGGGAACCGCGAGCTGTTGGCTGTCAAGCTCGCCCTTGAAGAATGGCGGCACTGGTTAGAGGGGTCAAAGGAACCATTCGTAGTGTGGACAGACCACAAGAACCTGGAGTATATCCAAACAGCCAGGAGGCTGAACTCCCGTCAACAGCGGTGGTCTCTGTTCTTTACGCGCTTCAATTTCACGCTCTCCTACCGCCCGGGATCTCGCAACATCAAACCTGATGCTCTTTCCCGGATGTTTCAGAAGGACGAGACCACCGCCATGACAGCCCCCATTCTTCCCAGCCACTTGGTCGTAGCGGCCCTCACCTGGGAGATCGAGAAGCAGGTCATGGAGGCTCTTCGGGACCAGCCAGGTCCAAGCACCAGCGCCCCCAACCGTCTGTTTGTTCCAGCAAATCTCAGGTCACCTGTGATTCAGTGGGGGCACGAATCCCGTCTGGCCTGTCATCCCGGCATCACTCGCACCCTTCATCTGGTCCGCCAGCGGTTCTGGTGGCGGCGGATGAGACGGGATGTCCGAGAATTCATCCGAGCTTGTCCCACTTGTAACCGAAACAAGACCCCCAACCAGCCTCCTGCTGGGTTGCTGCAACCCCTACTCATACCCAAGAGGCCCTGGTCCCACGTTTCACTGGACTTTGTTACGGGCCTTCCGCCCTCTGACGGACACACAGTCATCCTTACCATTGTTGACCGCTTTAGTAAGATGACCCACTTCGTGCCCCTTCCCAAACTACCCTCTGCTAAAGAGACCTCCCAGGTGGTCCTGGAACATGTGTTTCGTATCCATGGCCTACCCCAGGATATAGTGTCAGACCGGGGCCCGCAATTCTCAGCAACCTTTTGGAAGGAGTTCTGTCATCTCCTTGGGGCCACCGCCAGCCTATCGTCTGGATTCCACCCGCAGTCAAACGGCCAGACTGAACGCATGAACCAGGAGCTGGAGAAGGCACTGAGGTGTGTGGCTTCCCAAAATCCCCGGGCCTGGGCTCAACACCTGCTCTGGGTGGAATATGCCCATAATTCACTCACCAGTTCCTCCACCGGGCTCTCCCCCTTTCAGTGTGTCTACGGGTATCAACCTCCACTGTTTGCCAGCCAGGAGGCGGATGCCACCTGTCCGTCTGCTCTTGCGTATGCCCGCCGCTGCCGCCGCACTTGGACCCAGGCTCGCACTGTGCTCCTGAAGTCTGGAACCAGCTACGCCGTCGGTGCCAACCGACGGAGGACCCCAGCACCTACTTACCGGGTTGGTCAGAAGGTCTGGCTGTCTGCCCGGGATCTGCCGCTGCGGGTTGAATCACGTAAGCTGGCCCCTCGCTTCATTGGTCCTTTTCCTGTGCAGAAAGTCATCAGTCCAACGGCGGTCCGACTTCAGTTGCCCGCTTCCATGCGGGTCCACCCCACCTTCCACGTCTCCAAGGTCAAGCCGGTCCATGAAAGTCCCCTGGTCCCTGCAGCTCCGGCGCCACCTCCTCCGCGCCTCGTAGATGGCGGTCCTGTCTTCACCGTCCGGCGGCTGCTCCGCTCTAGGCGAAGGGGTAGGGGTCTCCAGTACCTCGTTGACTGGGAGGGATATGGTCCAGAGGAGAGGACCTGGATCCCGGCCAGGAGGATAGTGGACCGGACCCTTATCACTGACTTCCACCGACTACATCCTGATCAGCCTGCAATCCGTAGGGGCCGTCCAAGAGGGGTTCCTAGCCGTCCTGCCCGCCCTGCTTCCTGTCCTGTGCCTGACCCTGCTCCTGTCTCAGTGCCTGTCCTGTCTCCCGACCGTGACCCTCCAGCTCCTTCTGAGGATGAGGAGATTCACTCGGACCGCTCGGAGGAGTTCTGACCCGCCGCCTGCTCCCCTCCACCCTCCCGGCATGATGTTGTTCTTGGGACTTCTGGGGCCGTCCCTTGGAGGGGGGGTCCTGTCATGAGCACTCTCTCTCCCTGGTAGCAACATTAATTGCATTCAATTCTCTGCCACTCTGCTCACTCTCTCCCTACTCTGCCTAACGAGCTCCACCTGGCTCCGCCCTGCTCTGCTCTTGTTACCTGGCCAGCTGCACTGCATTTCCCACTCACCATCCTCACCTTGCCTCACTCTGTTCTAATTACTCTGCCAGCTGAACTGCATTTCCCCACTAACCTCTCCCAGTATATCAAGCCCTGTTTTTCAGCCAAGCCCTGTCAGATCGTCTTCAAACCCGGACCAGTAACCTGCCTGTCTGCGCTCTGACTCCTGTTTGTGATACCGATCCTTTCTTGACTGCCTCCTTGTTCTACTGCCCCGTCTATCCCGACCTGCCTTCTGGACCTCGACTACTCTCCGATCTTCAGCCCCTCCGGTAACTCGATTCTGCCTTCTGTCTCTCACCACGATATTTGCCCAGCCCTGATCTGTACTTCTGCCTGCCATTCATATTGCTGTTGTGTGTGTGTTCCCCCAGGTCTCCGACCACCAGATGAGCGTGCCCAGACGCTTCACCACCCTCAGCCCGATACGCCGCTCCATCACTGGGGAACACACACACTAAGCACTTGGACTGGACACCCCCGGACATTTGGTGACCCCCGGAGCACAGGTACCCACAGGACCCTGAAAAACCCCAGAGCCCCAAGCACCCCTGGAACCCCTGACACCCCTGGCACTCCTCTTCCCGCCTGAAACCTTCAATAAAGAACTCTGAATTTGAACTTGCGCTCTTGGGTCCTCTTCTGTCCGTGACAAATACCAGACGGGCTCATTTTTCGAACTTGATCACTAATAATCAGAATAATTTGAGTGTGCTCTGCTCGACACCATTGACGGCGTGATAAATCCTACCCCCGCAAACCTACAGTATGTGAACTTTCCTCTACATCTAAATGTGATGAGTTTGTGGCATATTTCATAGATAAGATAGCAAACATTAGGCTGGGTATCAGTCAAGCAAGACCTGATGAGAAGCTTGATGATATGTACCCTAGCCTACCACACAAAGGCACTATGGATTTTTGTCCCCTGGTTGACACAGACATGCTCTGGAAAGTGATATCACAACTTAAGCCTTCTACCTGCCTTCTCGATCCTATCCCCACCACCTTCTTCAAAACAGTTTTTAATTGCATATCTGAAGAAGTGCAAGCTATTGTTAATCACTCCCTGTTTACAGGCACTTTCTACACTGCACTAAAAACTGCTATGGTGAAACCCCTTCTGAAGAAAAGTAATCTAGATTCTTCAGCTTTTAGCAATTTTTGGCCAATCTCCAACCTTCCATTCTTAAGCAAAATGTTGGAGAAATTGGTTTTCAAAAGGCTAAATACATTTTTTAAGTGCCAACTGTATTTTTGAAAAATTCCAATCTGGTTTTCGTGCCCACCACAGCACAGAGACAGCCTTAGTTAAAGTGGTAAATGATCTTAGAGCCAACACAGATGCCAAACAGCTCTCTGTCCTTGTACTCTTGGATTTAAGTGCTGCATTCGACACGGTTGACCATGATGTCCTTCTGAAAAGACTGGAGATGTGGGTTGGCCTCTCCGCTCCAGTTCTAAATTGGTTTAGGACCTATTTAACCGGTCAAGAGTTTTTTGTCACCCTTGGTGAACAAAACTCAGAGAAAATACATATCACATGTGGCGTTCCACGAGGTTCGATATTGGGTCCGGTACTGTTCAGTTTATACAGTATATGTTACCCCTTGGCAGGGTTATCAGAAAGCCCAGCATTGATTTTAACTGCTACGCAGACGATACACAACTTTAAATTTCTGTGTCACCAGAAGATTTGAGCTTCATAGATAAATTATTAGACTGTATTAGTGATTGAAATACTTGGATGGCTCACAACTTCCTCCAGCTAAATCAAGACAAGACCGAGGTTCTTATTGTTGGAGCCAAAGCACAGAGAGAGAATCTGGACGCACATTTTAATTCACGGGCAATAAAGATAAAACACCAGGTAAAAAACCTAGGTGTTATTTTAGATTCTGAACTCAATTTCGAATGACACATTAGGAATGTGACCAAAATAGCTTTTTAACACCTGAGGAACATTGCCAAGGTGTGGCCATTTCTCTCTCAGGCTGATACAGAGAGACTCATCCATGCTTTTATTACAAGCAGGCTTGACTACTGTAATGCTCTCCTGTCTGGTTTACCCAAGAAAGCCATTGGTCAACTGCAAAACATACATAATGCTGCAGCACAGGTACTGACCAACACCAGACAGAGAGCACACATTACACCGGTTTTAAGGTCTCTGCACTGGCTGCATGTGAGTTTTAACATTAATTTTAATATTCGTCTATTGGTTTTTAAATCAATCCACGATTGTGCACCCCAATACACGTCAGACATGCTTTTAAGTTATGTACCCAGTAGGTCCCTCAGGTCCTCTGGCACTGGCCTTTTAACTATCCCAAAGCCTAGGACCAAGAGGCATGGAGAGGCAGCCTTTAGTTACTATGCCCCCAGCCTCTGGAATAGCCTGCCAGAGAACCTGAGGAGGGCCAAAACTGTGGACATATTTAAGAGATTTTAAAACACACCTTTTTAGCTTTGCTTGTCCTTAGGGTGCTTTTTAGTCATTACATTTTTATTGTTATTCTTTAGTTTTTTATCCTCTTTGTGTAGTAAATATTTCAGTTATTTTAATTGTTTTAATAATTTTTTTCCTGTCTGAAATGTGCTGTTTAAATAAAGCTTGATTTGATTTGATTAGGCCACACGACCAGCCGCTCCGACTGAAATCGGCCCGCGGCTGAATCTAGTTGCCTACCCCTGGTGTAGACAGAAAGACGAACTTAGCCCTCATGAGTAAGACTAGCAACCTTGGTCTCACAACATATTTCAGTTTCTCTACAGTGCTGTATGAACCTCTTGAAATGCTTGAATGATAAGACTTGTTCCAGTCTTGAGAACATTGGTAAGAGAAATGTATGATTGGGAAACGCTATTATCGGAAAAAAATTTGCTCACCTTGAACGATATCTCGTACTGCTCTCCGCCCCATATCTCCAAGCCAGTGTCGTAGCCACCCAGCTCCCAGAACCACTGGCGGTTGACGGCAAAGAGACCTCCGGCCATCACTGGAGACCTGTAGGAGAGACAGAGAGAGAATCCATGTCTTTAGCTTGTTGGTAAAGTTATTTTCTAAATCTTCTGATCAGCACAAAACTATGTGGTTTATGGTTATTTTAGTGTTATAAAGTGAACATCTACTAGGAGCAGCTACAGCTGTAGGTCTCAAGAGAGATGGACAGATAGAGAAACTGTACAAGAGAAACAGTGAGAGACAAAGAAAGAATAAAAGTGTTAGTTACCATGTTCAGATTTTATTATGCTAAAATAGAGCATAACATCCATATTCCCTTGACCTGGGGAATATATAAAATATGTATTCAATGCATACATTGAACGGTGACATTTGGTGTAATTCCAAGCATCCTAAATCCAGAGAAAGTCATCTACACTAGCAGTCTTTGTGGTATCAGACAGATAAACGTGTGTGAGTAATTTTTTAACAAAAATATAAAGTAACATACCTAATCCCTTGAGCTGGGAAAAATATGAAATATGTATGGTACATATATTGAAAGGTGGCATTTGAGCATCATAATCCAGCAACAATTATATTGCAGTCTTAGTGGAAGCATACAGACAGAAATGTGGCCCTCACATGACCCGCATCTCTCTGTTACCCCTGGATATGTAAATACACACCTTCTAAAACGCCATCATACATATATAGTAAAAACATGCATTCAGACACGCAGGCAGTCTCAAAGCCATATTGAGTCTTTACCCATAAATCCACTGGCTTGCAATAATAAAGGATGTTCCGTTCAGGCTTATCTCGGTCAAAGCGTTCATCTAATCACGACAAAGAAATACCAGTATCTCATGTTATGCCGACACCGACACTCGCGCAATCGATAAACTTCACAAAGAGCTCAAGCAGTCAAAAATCCCCATGATTGACACCTGACATGGCTATTTGCCTGACATTTCACATTTCCCACTGCAGAATCTACAGAAAGATCAAAGCAGACGAGGGATTGGTGCACAGTAAGCAGCATCTACTCCAAGGAGAAGCAACTTCCTTCCTATCAACAACAAACTGCTGCTACTAATAGTATTCTAATCCTTTCTCCCTGCTTATGCCTATGTTCCCTCCTTCCTCATTGTACTGCCCCAAACCTGTACTCATTGTTATTTCACACTCCCTTTCAGCAGGGCTTAAGCTCTGGGAGTGGATTTTGTTGGACCCTGACTCTGGCATGTTTGAATGTTTTTCCTTGTAGTTCTTCCTCGACGCACGGTGGAGAATCAGAGTAATCCTCCGGGTAATGGGAAGAGCTCTTTTCCTGCATTTGAGTCGTTCCTCAGTAGCGACGAGGACGACGCACCAATCTTCTAATAAAGCGTGGGGGGATGAAATACTGTAATGTAAGGAGAGGAGGCCAAAAAAGGAAAACACCACGGCACTTTGAATTACTGCGAGAGGGAGAAAGAGCGGCGGTGTCTTGATGCGAGGCTTGGATGGATGCAGAACGGCAGTGTGGAGGATAGGTCTAGAGTTTGAGCTGGGGAGCCGTTGAACTAGGGGTGTTTTGTAACCAAAATGCTCAGAATAAACAGCACCATGATGCAAAGCCACAACACAACAGCAAGCTTGACTCATTAAATCTCTTCACACCTCCTGATTCACAGAGAAAGCATCGCATTATTTGGGCATCTTAGTCAACAAGAAAGAGCTTAAAGCCAAGAAAGTTTTGAGCAGTAAAATCCAAAATAGCAAAGGAGTTGTGGGAGGGATTTGGTGTCTTAAGGTTAGGCCTCCACAGATGGACAGTCTTTTCAATCCGAAAAACAGTTTGGTCTGACCCACTGATGAGTCAATTGAACCAAATGTTCCTTGTTCCAATTTTTTTTGTATGTCTCTATGACAACCATCATCTGCCCGTGCAAAAAAACAAGACAGAAGACAACAAGTGAGGAATTAACTTGTGTGTGGTGGTGAAGGCAGAGCCAGACGGAGGGAGCTCAGGGCCAAAATCTATTTGCTCTGCGGGTAATACCCTCCAGCCTGCTTCCCTCCAACTGAATATAGCGCTGAAATATATCAGTCCACTCAATTAAAGGAGCTAATGGAGGAGCAAGCTGAAATCATTGCAGATTTTATCTTCTTAGCAGCCTTGCCAACAACAACTGAAAAACACTAGAGAATATAGCTTATTTGGGAAGTTAAAGTAGTTTATTTGTCGTCGACACTTCAACTTCTGGTTAAGGTGGTTGGAATGAGGGAATAGACAACATGCAGTACTAACTCACATAATATTCTTAGCTTAAAAAACCCACAACACTAGAATATTATTTGTGAAGTTAAAGGTGTCGTGGACACTACACTTTCTGGTTGTGGTGGTTGAAATTAAATAATCGACAAGGAAAATAGACATTTGGGTGCTGAATCCAAATTGAGTGGGATGGTTTGTGTGGTGATATAGAAGGTAATGAGAGCTGGTTCTTTAGCTGTGGATTTCTTTGTGGTTAGTGGAGGCTTTACACTGTTTGATCAGGCTGGATTGCTGCTGAAAGGCTCAGAGAGAGAGAGAGAGAGAGAGAGGAGAGAGAGAGAGAGAGAGAGAGAGAGAGAGAGAGAGAGAGAGAGTCGATAAGAGAGAGCGAGAGAGAGAGACTAAAGCCTAGTACGAGATATCTCTGTCTCTCTTCTCTCTGAATAGCTTTTTTATCTCAATTGTTCTCCTAGCTCTCTCTTCTTTCTCGCCTCCTCTCAGAGAGAGAGAATTAATATCCTTCATCTAAGCCTCCAGGAGGTTTACCTAACAAGGAGGAAGGAACCAACCTGCTATGAAGGGATGATCTGATTGAAGGAGGGCAACATTCAGACGTCATACAATTTATTCAAGGTTACCCTGATAGCCAAATTCAATATTGT